AGCTGTGAGAGGTAAGCCCAGGTGAGCAGCACCTGTACAGGTGAGCAGCCCCTGTCAGAGGTGAGCCCAGGTGAGCAGCCCCTGTCAGAGGTGAGCCCAGGTGAGCAGCCCCTGTTAGAGGTGAGCCCAGCTGAGCAGCACCTGTACAGGTGAGGCCAGGTGAGCAGCCCCTGTCAGAGGTGAGCCTAGGTGAGCAGCCCCTGTACAGGTGAGGCCAGGTGAGCAGCCCCTGTCAGAGGTGAGCCCAGGTGAGCAGCACCTGTACAGGTGAGGCCAGGTGAGCAGCACCTGTCAGAGGTGAGCCCAGGTGAGCAGCGCCTGTCAGAGGTGAGCTCCTGTGAGCAGCAGCTGAGCCACACAGACCAGGCACAGGGACAGCCTCTCCCTGGGAGCTCAGGGGACACTGTGTCTGGTTCTTTCCCAAGTGTGCTGCTCCTTAGAGGAGCTTTTGTGAGTTCTTATTTTCTATGTCTCCTTTCATTTTCCATCATTTCCGTGCAGGCCGCGTCTCACAGCTCCGCCATCCGAGCTTGCTGCGGTTCTGATTCTGCTGCTGGTCTTTCTGCCGTTGCAGGCGTCTTTCTCCCCCATTTGTGGTTCTGTGGTCCCGTTTGGGGACTCTGCAGGGGAGCGCCCGTGTGCTTGAGCGTGTCCCTGAAGATGGACACCGGGGCTCATCTCTGTCCCCAGGACTGACTGCACCAGCTGGGAGCACGGGCCCCAGTCCCGGGAGAGCGGCCCTTCAGCGGACGGTTTCCACCCAACGCTGTGACCTGGGCAGAGGTGGCTCCTGCTGTGGCGGTGGGGGCTGTGGGGGCCGGCCCTGCCCAGCGCCTTCCCAGGGTCTGGCGAGACCTCGGGGGCTCCGGAGGTCAGGAATCCACAGCGGTCCTCCTCAGACCCCGCCGGAGCCTGCTCAGCACACGAGCGCCATGGTGAACATGGGCGCAGGGGCACACAAACGCGCACACCAACACACACTCACACACACTCTCACAGTCATGCACACCAAAACACACCCAAACACACCACGCACACACACACCACGCACACACACCCCAAATGCAGCATGCACATACACTCACATGCATACTTACGTGCATCCCCCGCACTCATACACATTCTCACACACACCAAACACACCATCCACACACACACATATATGTGCATACTCTCACACACAGCACACCATGCAACACACACACCATACACACACCCCAAACACACCATGCACATACACTCATATGCATACTATGTGCATACACTCTTATATACACTCACACACATGTGCATACTCTCACACAGCACACCATGCAACACACACACCCCATACACACACGCCAAACATGCCATGCACATACACTCACATACATACTATGTGCATACACTCTTATACACACACACCAAACACACCATGCACACACTCACAGACATACTCTTTCACACACCAAACGCCATGCACATATACTAACATGCACACATATGTGCATACACACTCTCACACACCATACACACATACGTACACCCAGACTCACACACATCAAACACACCACACACACATGCACACATGTGCATGCAGACTCAACATGCACCACACACACTCACATGCACATATATGTGCACACATAGACTCACACACACCAGGCACACACGCTCACATATGTGCACACACACTTGTTCACACACACGCTCTACGCCAGGCCCCTCCGCCTGCTTCCTGCTGCTGTCCCTGCACACCAGCCCCACCGCACGGCCCAGTCCAGGACCAGCCACAGGGAGCAGCCCCCGGGCGCCGGTGACGCTGGCTGCCGGGCCGCACGGGAGCCCTGCTCCGCCCGGAGCCCCCCGACACTCCAGTGCAGCCCCTCCCGTGCAGCAGGCGGCCGCGCCGTCCCCCTGTGCGACCCGGCAGCTGAGGCCCAGAGAAGCAACCGCGCAAGCAGCGGAGCCCAGCGCAGACGGGCGGCGGAAACCCGCAGGGCGCTGGGCAGCTCTGCACGGCGGGCACACGGGCAGGGCGCTAGTGCCCGGTCACCCCTGAGGGCCCCCGGGAGGAAACACCGCGCGACGGGCAGCACCACCGACGAGCCGCCAGCCACACAACGCAACCCCCAACCCCAAGGAACCCCCCCGAACCCAACAAGAATCCCCGGGCCGCAAAGGGGGAAAACGAAGCCCCAAAAAGAAACAACGGCTGGCCCAAGCCAACCCCAAAAAAAAAGGCCAACGGGCCCCGCCTCCCGCCAAGCCCCGGGGGCCCCAACCCCCCCCCCAACAACCCGCCGGCCCAAGCCGGGGAAGAACCAAAACCAAAACAACCGCCTCAAAAAACAAGGCCCGCCCCCAAGGCAAGGCAACCGGAAGGGGCAGGGCCCCAACCCCCCCCGCCACCCAACCCCGGCCCAAAACAAAGGTGGCCCGGCGGGGGGGGGCCACCAGGGGTGGCCAGCGGGCAGCTCTGGGCAGAGGGTCCACGGGAGGCTGAGGCAGACTCACCTGCGTCCTCTTTCTCGGTGGCCCGGCTGGCCCCTCCAGAGACCGGGGAAGGCGGGTGACGGTCGTCCCACTGGCGGGCAGGGGAGCTGAGGACAGCTATGCCGTTAGCAAAGGACAGGCCCTCGGGGCATCGGGACAGTGGCTCTCTTTCCAGACGGGGCGGGGGCCATCCCACTGCCCCAAGTCAGGTGAGGCAGTGACCTGCTTCAGTACGTGCTCCGGGAGCAGAGGCGCCTTTGAGGCCAGTGCCGGGTTCCCCAGTGTTGCCCCAACTGAGGGACTCCCCAGAGACACCCCCGACAGCCTGCACGGGCGCATGGCAGGAGGAGAGGCCTGGGTAAAGGTCCACACTGCTGCAGGCACGGGCTACAGCCACAGCATGACCTGAGCCCCCCGGTGGGGAGCTGCCCCCCAACCCCCACCCTGCACACTGACCCCGGCTCCGTGCAGCTCGGGGGGCTCCTCGTGAAAGAGGAAGGAAGAGCCAGCTGGTGGCCTTGTCCTGGCCACGCTGCCCCGGCCTGAGTCTGCACTGACCACAGGGCCCAGTGCAGCTCACACCACACCTGCCTGAGTGGGGGGCCGGCCGGGGCTCCCGTGGCAGCCGCAGCCCTGCCTCCCGCCGCCCTCCCGCCCCGGACAGCCGGGTCCTTGCAGGAGAGGCTGGGGCCTTGTCTCTGCCTCCACGGCTCCAAAGACCAGTGGCCCCTCTGTGAGATGAATCATAGGACATCGGACACTCCCACGGCTGTCTCGGTTGGTGCTTTGTAACGAGCAGCTGGAAAGTGACAGGTGTGCTTGACCCCGGCTGGGTGGGCCCTGGCAGCACCGGTGGGGCCCTGGGCGGGGCTGCTCCTCCGTGTCCAGGGCACCTGTGGGGCCGGCTCCTGAGACCCGTGGACGCCTGTGGCCGGCGGCCTCCCCGTCTGGCTGCTGGATCTCCCCACCGGGCAGGGGGAAATGAGAGCGAGACGCCATTGCATCTCGAGGGGGCTGCGCATGTGACCAAGGGATGGACCCAGGATTCAGCCCCGTGCCGGGCAGTGCAGGCTGTTCAAGGGTGACAGACACTCCACGGTGCTGTAGCCACCACTGTCCCTTGCCTGGGGCCGGGCCCCAGAGGCCATCCTTGCGGGTACAGAAAAACCCAGTGGGTTCACAGACTGCGTGGTCCACACACGGGCAGGGCCGCAAAGCTGCGGGGCCTCTGGTTTCTTGTCCAGGGACAATGTCCACGTCTGCTCCCTCCCAGGGCCTCCGTGTCAGCCCCAGCCATGCCGGTCCCACCAGCCGTGCCGGCCCTACCAGCCGTGCCGGCCACAGCCCCTCTCCCAGGACACCACGGCCAGGGAACAGAAGCCATGCTTATCAAAGGATTTTTTTCTTTATTTTCATAATTTAGCTGAATCAACACAAAATCGAATACTGTAAAACAAGAAAAAAAAATGCTGTAACATCTTAAATCTCCCGGGCTCTGCCCCCGAAGGTGTCTACACGCACGTTCAAAAGAAACAGGCAACGGACAGGAGCCGGTGGGGACGCTGGCCGGCCGGGGGAGTGGGGGGCCGCGGCCCAGGGACCCCGCCCTGCTCTGGGCGCAGCCGGGACCACCCTGCCTTCCCCGGGCCGACACCACCCCCGCTCCCCGACAGACCCCGGTCTGCGCCGCTCTCAGTCCGGGACACAGACACCTCTGGGTTGTGACGGAGAGGGGACAGAGAGCCTCTCGCGGGGGCCGGAGCAGGCCTTAAATAAACGGAGCTCCTTCCTACGTCTGTGGTCTACGGTAGCCGGGACAGCTTCTATATAATTATGTGGTTTTTTTTTTTTAACCTTTTTTGTTTCTTAGTAGCATAGAACTAGCATAATATCGTGTTAATCGGACTCTTAGGTAGTATACTGCAGCGGGCGCGCGTGGGGGCGCAGGGGCCGGCGGGGGGCTGCCGGGGACAGACCCAGGCCGCCCCGCACTCGTGGCCCCCGGCCCCCGACCTCCTCCAACATGAAGACAGAGGACTTCTGAGAATGGGGGGACGCGGACTCGGGGAGAGGGCGGCAGACTGGCCTCGAGACCCACAGGTGGCGAAGGGGTCGGAAACGGGGGGACGGGGCCCTCTGGAAGAGGCGTGGTCACAACACCGGATGCTCAACGCTCGCCGACACGGAGACCAAGGGACGGGTGGGCACCACCAAGCAGCCCGGAGGGAAGAGGGACCCGGCTCCCCCCGGGGCGCTGGTGGAGGTGTCCGGAGACCCCGGCACCGTGGTCCTCCGTTCTCTTCTCCCAGGGTCCTGTGGCTCCGCCAGGCGCCCCAGGGCCCAGGGCCGCCCCTCCCCCCCCCCTGCACCCCGCCCCGTCCCGCCCCACCCTGCCCGGCCCCAACCGAGGCTGCAGGGACACACGGGGCTCCGCCCGGCTCTCGGGACGGCCGGGGCTGCCACACGGATTGTTAAATAGGATTCTCTACAAATATACAACATATAAAAACTGTTAAATATATAACTTTAGGCTTTGCAAAATACATTTAATGATATCTCTTTCAAACAAGTGTTACTGCAGTGTTCCTTTAATTTGCTTTCTGGAGCTAAATGGCGTGTCGGATGCGGACGGCAGTCACGGGAGACCCAACATGCTCTTGGCAAATACGGGATTATCCAACTATCAAAAATGGAGCTGCGGAAGAGGCATGTTTACTGGTTAAACAGAAAGTGATTTTAGTACGATAGAGTCGGTCTAAGTACAGAGGAAGGCGGAGGTCAGCACTCCCGGGGGGCTCTCGGCGTCCGCGGGGGGCCCGTCTCCGGCCCCAGGTGCGCCATGGCGGCGGCGGTGGCCTCCTCCCGGCCGGAGCCCGTCCTTCCAGCTGGCGCCAGCGCAGTCCCGGGCTGCAGGCCTCTGCCCCGGCCGCTCGATCCACTCCGCTGTCACCAGGGCCGCCGGCATGTCTCTGCCTCGGGCCCCCGCCCCCCGCGGGCCCGGGACTCTGACAGTCAGGGCGCGTCCGCGGTGGGGCGGATTTTGCTCTTTGGTCTATCGGGTGTACGGAAAGTGTAAGAAAATAAAAGCGATTCGGACAGTCTGGGCACGGGGAGAGGCGGCGGCGTCCGCGCCCGACAGTCCCCCGGGCCGGGCGCGGTGTCTCGGGCCGGCCGGGCCGCAGCCTCCTCCGGGCGCCGGGCCTCCAGGTCCAGGTCCTGGTCCTCCGAGCGCGGGGCGGGTGCCGGGCGCGGGCAAGGCCGGGCTCCCACACACGCGTATTGCTGGCGCCCGGCGCCGCCCCCCCGTGTGTCCGAGGCCCGGCTTCCTCGACTCCGCCGTTCGGGCCGGGGCGCAGGACGAGGCTATCCTCGGCGGCCGCGGGGAGCGGGGCGGGCGAGGTCAGGGACGGGCGGAGGCCTGTGGCACGGCGTGGTGGACTCTCCAGGGAGCCAAGGCCACTCCCGGGGCCCCTCGGGGGCTGCGTTCGTCAGGACACCTGGGGGGGAGGAGAAGAGAGAGTCAACCTCGCGCCACGACACCCCCGGCGCCCCCAGGCCCCCCACATCCGTCTAGGGCCGTTGCCTGCCGTCCCCCTCGGCCCAGCTGCTGTCCCTGCTGGCACCGTATCACCCACAGCGGGGTTTCATTTCTGCACCGTGTAGCACCGCTAGTTTCCAAGTGGATCCCTGCCTGCTGGCACGGCGACATTCACGGCACACATTCCAGTCCTTTCCTAGAGTCATACGTTTTCAACGGCTCCAGATTCATCTACCACGTTTCCCCCCAAATATATTTGTTTTTCCCCAAGAAGATACCCTAGGGCTTAGGTTCAGGGGATGAGTTATTTTCCCCTCCAAGCCTCAGCTCGCAGCACGCACAGGATGGCCGGGACCTGACAGGGGGAGCTGCTCGACCTTGCGGGTGGGGCTGCCCGCACCTTTCCGGTCACCTCTGGGACAGCAGCTGTCACGACGGGGCAGATGAGAAGGGCTGCTCGTCTTCTTGACCGCTCAGCAACGAAATGCATGGGTTGTGCAGATGCGCTGTGTGGCCACGCCCGTCACTAGGTCTTATTTTCAGGGTGGGGCTTCTATTGCGCACATGCTTAGACATCCTGCTAGGGCTTATTTTATGGGTAGGTCTGATTTTCGGGGAAACGTGGTAGTATGTTCTGAGACTGGATTAGGGTCTATCAGTTGCATCTTCTGTCGGGGCCCGGGGCACTGGGTGTGGGAGGCGCCCCAGGGCCACGTGAGGAGGGGCTCCCTCCCGCCAGCCTCCCAGGGCCCGGCTGGGGATGCTCAGAGGACCCCGGCTCTTTACAGCAGCCCGGGGGACAGTGGCGTGTCCTATGCTGCGTGGCGTGCAGGACCCCTCTACCCCTCTGCCTTCAGGAGCCAAAGCCATGCCTGCCCCTCCCCCCAGCGTTCCCAGCGTGGCTGCGCCGGTCTCCTGCACTGGCCACGGCACGCCATGAGGGTGACCCATTTCCAGGGTCTCGCAGAACAGCCCCTCCACCCCCAAGAGCAGAGCTACACGGGACGCGGTGTGAGCCTCAGCACCACGCACACGCATGGGGCCAGAAGGATGGCACGGGGGCCGGGCCACGGGAAGGGCCCTGGCATGTGCTCCCCGCCCCTTCCCTGCTGTGGCTCCGGCCTCCTCACTGGCCCTCGGTCCGTCTGCTCGCTGGGGGACCGGAAGCCTCCGTGGTCACTCCGCGCCCGGGGCCACAGCAGAGCTGAGATGGCTGCTGGGTCTGTGGTCTTTGCCCGTGGGGGGGTCACATGCACCCCAGCTCCCCACGGGGCTGAGCCTGCTGTGTGCATCTGCAGAAAGAAGTGCCCCCTTCTTTCTGCCCCAAGGGACGGCTCTGGGGCCGCCGGGCTGGCCTGCTCAGGAACTGGCCCTGCCGGCCGGCAGTCCTGCACCAGCCCACAGCGTGGCACTCGGGGTCTCAGAGCAGGACAGCCTCGGTCCCCAATCCAACCCAGCATGGTACTGACGGGCCCTGAGCCTCAGTCTCCCCGCTGCACGGGGCCACCGTGTGACAGTGGCAGAGCACCCTGGCTGCAGGGGCGCCAGCGTTCTGTGCAAGGGGCCGGCGGGCGGTCGATGACAGGGGCCAGCACTGCGGGGCTTCCTGCCCTCGGCTGGTGTCTGGGGCAGAGGGCAGGGGGCTCTCACGGCGGGCGCCGGGGCCTGGCTCTGACGGAGCGCCCATCAGTCACTAGGCTGGGCAGCTGGGGCGGGCAGCAGCTGCAGGTGGACCCCATCCTCTGCCAACCCCCCCCCAAGTCCCCAGTGATGCGCCCAGCTGTCCTGCGCTTGGCTGGCATTCGGGGGGCAGGACATAACCAGCCCCGAGAAGGTTCCTGGCTTGTTAAAAACGGATTCAGGGATGGCTGCCACTTGCCTCCGGCGCTTCCAAGCTGCACAGGTGTTTTCATCACCAACCAGGCTTCAAGTCAAACAAGAATGCAGAACATCTGCGGCGAGACCATGCTTCCCCAGAGCAGGGGGGCACAGCCCTGCCTCCGCTCGCCCGGCGTGACAATCCCGGGCCCTGCCACCACTGGCCACGCCTGGGCCTGCCCCCAGCA